AATGCAAACAATGGGTTCACTTAACAACTGCCATGTTCACTTAATGTCGGTTGTATAAAAAGATAATAAAATTGGGCATAAATCATGTGGAGACCTGCTTATTGATCAGCATGACTTACAACCCAAATTCTGGGCTCAATTATGGTTGTAAGCCAAGGACTACCTGCAGGGTTGCCAGTGCTTCAAAAATGGTTCAGAAGCAAAACTTCAGAACTTTCAGGATCTAATTCACTTCTCTGGGCTCATTAAATCAGTCCAGTTTTTTTTCAGGCTTTCACATTGGTCTGGAAAAAAAACATATGGCTACTTTATGGATTGAATTATATTTTATGAGTTGATTCCTTGAAGCAGCAGCATATTTCAGGGCCTGTGGTAGCCTGAAATGTGATAGGCTGCTTTAATATAGCACAGAGATGCTACATTCAGACAAAGTCTAAAGAATTTCTTATGAATATTTGAAGTAGTTATAGTTAGATGGCATTTTACAACTTACTGGCCAGTTTAGAGTTCATAAGCCGTCATTCCCACTTGTGAACAGAAGCTTTCCCCAAAACTCTAAGCTATAAAAATAACCCACTCTATCCGTCCGTCCGTCCATCCATCCATCCATGTGTATAAAATATATATGTTTGATACATATCCTCCTCCTGATCTAGTATGCAACGAAGAGAAGCAACTTCATATTATTCTTCTTAAGTTGTGTTTTGTTTTCTTTTCAAGAGCTGACAGAACATTTGAAGAAACTATAAGTGAAGGATGTTTTCAGCTGGATCTTTTTTCACATACCATCACTTTCCTGCTCAAAATAGTAAGTAAATAAATAAAATAAATATGCACACACGTTTGTGTATGTATGTACATATGTAGATGTATATGAGAAAGAGAAATACCAACTATTTTACTGCCTAGACCAGTAATGGCGAACCTTTAAGAGACTGAGTGCCCAAACTGCAACCCAAAACCCACTTATGCATCGTCGAGTGCCGGGTGGGTGTGGCCCATTGGCTGGGTGTGGCCAATTGGGTGGGCGTGGCTACAGTGATAAAGGCAGACTGGGTAGGACTAAAAAGTTCAATCAATCAATTCCAACTTTGCAAGATCTTTTTTTTCCTGTGAGAAGTTGAAATTGACTGATTGAACCTTTTTTTTTTTTTGCACATGATGGCGGAGGCCTAAAGCGAAAAGATTTTATAAAACCCAGCTGAAGGCCTAGGACTGGGACGACGGTGCGCGTGCCCACAGAGAGGGCTCTGAGTGCCGCCTCTGGCACCCGTGCTATAGGTTCGCCAGCACTGGCCTAGACCACAGCAGAAGCAGGTAATTTTTTGTTGGCAAGGATCACATTTAACTTTTTTTTCTCCAAACGTGTGTGAGTGAGTACACATGCGTGCGAATAGGTTTTCAAGTGATATGATGGCAGCCATATGTGGATCAAACTACTGATATCATTATTTGCCTGTTATGTATGTGTATCCATTTATCCATCTATTTCCTTCTATGTATAGAGGAGAGGGAAGGCGTAAGAGACAAAAACAGTTAAAAAAGCATTGCTCAATAGGAATACATTTTTAAAAGATGAAATTGATCTCAAGAAGAATTTCTTCTGTCCCCAATTTAAGAGGTTTAAGTGGCAGATACACTAAAAGATGTTACTCAACACTCAGGTTTACTAAAACCTGTTTTTATAGATTGTCCTAGGCACTATCAAATTCCTAATCTGCAGATAATATGCCACTACAAAGAAGTCTTTTTGGGTTTCACAACACAGATAATGAAGAATTTGGTAATTTTGAACGCTTCTCAATGTGAATTTCAACATAGCTATACACTGAAAGAGAGATAGTCTGTTGTACTGTACATGAAAACATTCATCTTCTTTCATCACTATGACCCAAAAATTACATGGCAGCTCTTATTTTATTTAAAAATAAAATAAAAATATGTAAAACATCATGTGAAAATATTACATTAAACTCTATTATATCAATTTCCTATTGCTGGATAACTCCCAATAACTTTATCTACCCTGGTGACTTCCAATTGAGTCCCCTTGGCTAGAACTTTTGAAAATGGCTAAAACAAATGATAAATCACAATGTGTGATGTCAGACAATGTTTTACAAGAAGTAGATCTGCATCAGAACCTCTGAATTGTTTCACTTAGGGTTTCTTCACCAGTAAGAAAGGAACATTAACTAGTTTGAAACATTAGTTTATAATGCTAAGGTTTTTGTTTAAATCTTAAATTGAATTTGGACAAGACAGATTATTAACTTATAGTTAATTCTCCTTTTCCATTTCTGGAAAGATAAGAGAGTAAGCTACCAAAAATAGGCTGTTGTGGCTTTAAAATGTCATCTATTTCCATCTCCCAAAGATATATTTGGCTCTGTAGACCACCATTTGTTTTTTTCTAAAATAAAACTCAATGTCTTTTTTTTAAGTGTTGGCTAGCCATCCACTGCAAATTGTAGGAAAACCAGCAAAACATGGCTGGCTACGGTCTATTGTGTCATCTGTTTGTTTTTGGCCACCAATATACAAGCTGTTATCCCATAGTTATTGCCAGACTTTAATATATCATATGAACACATTTTATGGCTTAACCATAGCTTATTGGATAAGTCATAATTTGCTATGTTTCTATACCATACTAAAACATAAAATGTAGTCTACAAACCATAATTCATACAATTCAATTAAAACCATAATATGATCCCTCATGGAAAAAAGAACCTGGATGGACTTTGTTTTTATAGAAAGGTAGGTGATAGTCATCATGTGATAGTTTATATACTACACTGAATTCTGAGTATGACACAGAGTGTTTGGAGATTTTTTTTAAAAAGGAAGCACAAGACTGTATTTCCCATGAAGATGCTCTTGTCATTGTGTCCTGAATAAATCACCTTATGCCACGCAATTCAGGGTTAAGGACTGTTTTTGGTCTTGGCATAAGCATCTACAGATATATCTGCTTCAAGATTTCTAGGAAAATAAAAAAATCCCATTTGAATAGTTAGGTTTACACTACGTGGTGAACTATAAATAGTGTGGTTTAACCCATATTTTAACTTAGTATGTTAGGTAAAGTTAGCTTCTATGACTCATGTATGGGTGGGCTAATCAAACGTAGAAAACTAGATTAACTGAACCATAATTGAATTAATCTTGAAAATTATAAAAACACAGCAGATAAAGTGATTTACTGCCCTTTCATATTCAAATGATATACTTAACTGGATCTAAGGATGCATGTTTTGCTCTTGAGATGTAAATCTAATCAGGTTAGTTAGAAAAAAGAACAGTCCCTGGAGTCTTAGAGACTAAAACAATGCTTCCTCAAGCAGTCATATTGTACAAACTATTTCTTAGGATTACATTCTCTGCCTCTTTCTGAGACAAAGTGATAGAGTGGCTCCCAAATGGGCCTTTTCTAGCTATTTCTCTACTTTGCCCATTTCTTTCACTATGGCATAGGAGGGGCAATAAATAATAAAAAATAGCTTTCAACATTAGTTAGTAGCTTATGATTATATTGCTGATTTATTTGCTCCACTGCGGTTGGGGGAAGCCAATTTCCTAGCGTCCTTGAGGTTAAGAGAACTCAGAAAACAATCATTCCCCACTGACAAAACCACCCGTAATTATGCATTGTTGATCACTGCTCAAGAGAAAATCAAATAAATTCTGGAAAATAGGTAACTGGGTTGTCCCAACATATTAAATGCAAGTAACCAAAACTATGAGTTATATGACGTGTATATAAATTATAGCAAGCCCTGGTCCCAAAATATAAGCAATAATTTATATCTAATCTCCAGTTTAGATTTCTCTTTTCTTGTGAGTGCACCCAGTATAATTCAAAACCAAATTACATTATTACTCAGATACATGTGTGAATGCAGTCTATGAGAGAAAATCTATTACTACACATTTCTCTATGATTGCATTTCTATGTTAAGCTGCATCTGTAATTTGCTGTCTACCATGAAGCTATTTAGAAGGAAAATTCCAAAGGAGAGTTTACTTCACACATAATCTTGGCAGAGGTGTCAGAAATAACTATATTTACAAGTGGACTGTGCATATTATTCAGAAATAAATCCCAATAATTCAATATGGCCTCCTCAAGTGTTGGATGATGACTCCCTATAAGGTCAGAATCCCTATAAGGTTGTAACGGCAATACTCAATTGCTTACTATGTCTTCTCATCCTTTTTACAAGTACGTAACTATTTCTTCCAATCATGTTGGTTTTCTAAAGTATGTAAAGATATATGATACATTCTTGGCTTCTCCGTGGATTCCTCAAGCAAATCAAATTCAGTCCTTAAAGCAGAGTAGGATGTTATTCCAATCAATATATGTCAACATATTCACAGTAGAATAACAAATAATCATTCTTATGGTTATCCCTATAAGAAGATAAACAGTTAGGGAGTGGTTTTGGTTTATTTGCCAAAAATTATTTGATTGCATATTATTAATTATCCTCTGCAGTGCTTTAGTGACTACTTCAAAACCCTTTGCCTCCACAGCAGGATATCTTGGCCTAGTTCTGCTCAGAAAACAATATCTGATAGTAACAAGTGAACTTGTCTGATTCAGTAATAAATCCACAGCAAACTACTTCAGTTTATAGGGTTGGGCCAGTTTATATGAGCTTTGGGAGAGAAGATTAGATTATCTTGCTTTCAAACAGATTCTAGCATATGCTGATTTACAATACTGCACAATGAAATATCAAGCAATTATTTGATGAATTTGCTTAAGAATAAAATATGCTTTTATACAATATCAGTTCAATAAGATGGAAATAGGGAGATTTATATATGAAATAGGAAATATCTATTTAACTACAAATTTTAGTAACTCCTTTCCCCGTTGCAGTAAGTGCATTTCAAACAGCATTTTTTTTTTAAAAAAAAGCTTGCATATATCCCACTTCCCATTCAAAAACAAGTAATTTATGTGTAAAAAGAGTAGGCTCTCCTACCTGATTTTCTTTTTGAGGATCCATAATCCCTGAAAAAAAGGCAACAACAGATAGACATAGTTAGATCCTGGAGCATAAGGGTGAAAAAGATGATATGCCAGACTCCAATCAGCTTATTCAGAGATACATTGTAGGAGCCTTCTGTTTTAAATTGGAGCTGGGGACTATAAGGCATTGACACACTTAAACAGCCGCGATGTAGTTTCCTAAATCAGCAGCAGCAGCTGCTGGTGCTCTTGCAATTGAGTATAAGAAAGCCCATGTGATCTATCAGAGAGACCAGACCATCCAGGCAAAGGAAGGGGGAGAGAGAGGGTATCAATTCTTTCCTCTCTTTAAATCAAGCTTCTGGTATTGCTGTTGCTGCTGACTCTTAACTCCTTATTGTTCTCCAACTCAGAGGCACAAGCCTGCTGGCTATTCTTTGTAAAGTTCCTACATTTTGCTTTAGGCAGCATTTTGTGATTCTCAGGATTCTTTGTTGTCAAAAGCTGTTTGCCATTTGCATTGCCTGCAGTTCCTTCTAGTTGTCTCTCCTAACACCTGTCTGTATAAAAAGAGAAAACCGTTCTGGCTTCTTTAACATAAGAACAAATACTGGGGATGATTTTCTTTCCTCATTGGCAAAATGAAAACTACAACAAGCCAGTTCTTTTGACAAGGCACCTTTTAGGAAAGATCACACTTATCAGGACATCACGTGGTGCAGAACAGTATGGCTATTCCTTAAAAAGAATCTCTTGTATTTCTAGAGCAAAATACTTTTTAATAGTACAATCCCATGTCTGATTCTTTCAGTAAAAGTTGCTAGTTTTTATGTACCCGTGAAGAAAGATTCAGTGGTATACATTTTTTAAAATTAATCCACATCAAGATTTTATTCTTCTACAAATAAAGTCCTTTTCCACAAGAAATGAATGTGGCCTTTTTAAATGTTTGCTAGCATTTCTTTTTTTCTCCCTGCTTATTATTGGCTTTTCAGATGGATCTAGGTATATTTTTCAACACTGAATTAAACATGTAAATGACTCACGGCCTTCAAAAACATGTGAACTTGATATGAATGTTAATATTAGTAATAATATTTTAAAATTAATTACTCCATTCCAGAAAGTGAGATGTTTTATTCACCATATTACAAATAGTAATGTGGAATGGGAGAGAATGTGAGGTATAAATTAAAGCTGTCCAAATATAGTCCTATAATAATATATTCAGTTTAAAGTTCCACTGCTTGTATAAGTAGGCTTATACAAGCAATAATCTGAAATAGAGTAACATCCACACTTAAATCAATGCTGTACATTCTTACATAGAACTAGGTTTAATTAAACTGAGGGAAACTTACTTCTGAGCAAACATAAAGACCTACTGACTTAAATTTAATTCCCAGTGACTTAATGGACATATTAAGTTTTCTTGACAATAAGTGTTCTAGATTTTTTTTCTCTTTAGATTTCCTAGCCTAGTGTCTAGACTTCAATATTTTTGCAATCTCCCATTTAAGTACTAGGCACTTCAATTTTTCTTAGTTTTTCAAAATAAACACTAAGTTATGGCAATACCTAAGAATTGTCATATCAACACTGGCACCCATATTACTATTATTCTGCAGCAGATCCACAGAACTTAGAATGTAACTATATAAGGCAGTCAGTTATACACTGAACAAATATCTACATTATACAAATTTTCTCCAGCACGTGACTCTCCAGATAAGTGGACCAGAATTTTCTACACTGGCCATACCATGAGGAATTCTAGAAACTGTTATGCAATCATCAGTAGAAATTTCACAAGAGTGTGAAATTTCACAAGGGTGTATCCACTTAGCCTCACAATTTTCCCAGCGTTACTCAGGAATTTAAAAGAGCCAAAAGAAACTCCTGACCCAAGGTTTCAGCAAGCAAACAACTTTTATTTTGATCAAAATAGAGTTGGGTGACCCCATCTCTCTTTGTGGCTGGTAGACAGATGAAGGCAATAACCAGGAAAGATGTCTTCCACCTTTTATACCTTTTCAGAACAAAAAGATCAGGTCTTTGTACCAGGAGCAAGATAGCACTAAAAAACAATTCCAAGATGACTCATACACAGCAACCCAGGCTCTATCTGTAACTCCTTTTCCCCCTCCCCTTACCTTGCTCTTTTCATGTAAGCAATCTCCTGTATGTTTAACATGACACTTTTACTTTTCCAATATACATAAAGCATCTGCTCGGGCAATTGGGTACAAAATAATAATTACAAAATAACAAAACAATGATTACATGCTAACACTACAAGTATTAATATAAATGGTTACTATATATAAAATAGCTGTTAGTGTCAAACTTAAACATACTAAAATCATAAGCACAATAAAATCCCTTCAAGGGTATAGGTTGATCTACATTCCATAAATGTAATTGTCACCTGGTCCACAATTCATTTATATACATGGGGATTCTTTTTCCCCCCTTCTGGCCTATTCTTAACTCATCCTCCAGTTACTTCAATATTAGGAAAATGTTTTCCTCTAAAACTCTTGTGAAAATCAAAAGTACTGTAGCAGGGCTTTTCAACCAGTGGTACAGGTACCACCTGTGGTACATTGGCACCTGGCAGGTGGTACGTGACCATCCTAGACAAGTGGTAATGGGGGAGGGGAATGAGCTGAACCAGTGGCAGCACCGCACAAGCCTGAGCAAGAGATAGCTGGAGCTGCAGGGCTGTCAGGGCTCAGCGGAAGCGCCAGGATCAGCGCTTCTTCGGGGCTGTCAGGGCTCAGTGGAAGGATCCAGCTGGAGCTCAGCGCTGATCCTGGCACTTCTGCTGAGCCCAGAAGAAGCGCTGATCAGCTGGAATGTTGCAGCATCTCCAGGGTCTTGTGATTTACATTCAGATGCTTGGCAACTGATTCATATTTATGACGGTCACAGTGGCCCAGGGTCATGTGAAGTGACCAAAACCTGCTGCAACCACCCAGCAGACGGGGGGAATAAAAACCAAACACCCCCCACCCCACCCCCGCTGCCAATCCTCAACAGAAATGCTCACAACAATGAAAACCTCGGACAGGAGGAAGAGGGCGGCCGGGCGGGCAGGCAGGCGTCTTGCTCGGCTGTGGCTTGGGGGGCACTTTTTTCAGTGCCATTGTAACTTAAACAGTCACTAAGCGAACTGTTGTAAGTCGAGGACTACTTGTACTTTATCACTTTTTTCCTTTTTTGGGGGGGTCATCAAGTTTTTGACACCTTGCTAAGCGACTGGTGGTACTTGGATGTTGCCATATCCTAAAAGTGGTACAATGGGTGAAAAGGTTGAAAAGCCCTGCTGTATAGGACCTCATCAGTTGGAGTTGAAGGAAAGATAAAAGCAGAGTTGGGGAAGATATAAGAAACTAACCAATGGATGTGTTCAATACTAAAACATTTCTCAGCAAACAAAAGAAAACAGACAAATACACAGAAAGCCATACAATTCAATTCAAATTGGGAAAAGTCTGTTATTGCATGTATGTAGCATATGTTGCCAACTCCTTAAACCGAATGTATAATTCTTGGGATAATGCAACAGATATAAAGGGCAGGTGCATAATCCTGTCAAAAGACTCAACTGCTTTAAGACACCAATTTTTCCTTGAAACACTCTTTCCCCTTCAAAGCCCTAACCCCCCCCCCCCGATTAAGCAAATAGTAACTCTTTGTTAAGAATACCTACTTCTAGATATTCCAATACTGAAAGAAGTATCATATGGTTTTATTTAAAAACATCATCTTTAATTGGACCTATTCCTGGGTAAAGCTGATAGGATTGCATCTGAATAATAGAGTTCTACATAAACTGCCCTTTGACATAAGTCTCATTGATTTCCATGTGGTTTACTTCCTATGTGGCATGTAGTACGCAGTGTATAAAAAGGCAGCTGTATATTGTCAGCCACCAAATGTAAGCTAGGTCAGGAAATAAATTCCTTGAAAAATATTGAAATTCTATTTTGTGATGTAAACTACAGTAATAGAATCTTAGAAGCCTGTCAGTATTTTTCCTCCCTTCTCCCTTCTAATAACCTAGAAAATTAAAGTGGAATTAGGTTAAATTTGTCACATTCTCCTCTTTTCCTGGGCTCAAATCATGTTTTACTAACTCTGCATTCTTTTGTTATTATGTATAGATAGGGAAACACCACCCTAAAGGTCCAAGAGATCCTCCTGAACACATATCTACTGCTAATTTGATTAATAGAGGTCATGACCAAGGGCCTTTTGCTCAATACCAGTTGTGTTCCTGTCTGGAACAGGAGAATATAGCCAAGTAACTCACCCCCTCATCATCGGCTGGCTGGACCTTTGCAAAAACTCTACATAGGGCTGCCTTTGAAGTCTATTCAGAAGCTGCAGCTGGTTCACAATGCAATGGCTTTCTTAGCTGGCACATATACCTAGAATATATTATATATGGGTTACATGCCTTGCACTATCTTTCAGTAGGCTTCCAGGAGTAATTCAAAATGATGATTTTGTCTTATAGAGTCCTCTGTAGCTTGGAACCTAGATATCTCCAGATCCAGATATCTGCATTCTTCATCTGGAATCAATCTGATTGCCTCAAATGATCTGAAAGAAGCTACAGATTGTCTCCTAATTCCATGAAAGAGTATGAAACAGGAAGGAGCTACTTTTCTCTGACAACAACTGGAACAGTTCCCTAGATGTTGTTCCCAAGACCTGCTCCCTTTGGCATGTTCACTTAGGAAGATGTTGAAGATCCAACTCTTCCAAAGAGTTTTTTTGAACTAAACTGTTATCATTTGTGTTTCCATCTTTTGCTGGTTTTGCTTTGTTTTGGCTAGGAGATTGTTAGTTATTTATAGATATTAATTCTTTTTTTTTATATATTCTAAACTGTCAGGAGTTCTAGCGAATTACAAATCGATGAATAAATATATAAAAAATTAGAGCTTGAAATCTTAATGGGGGGTTGTGAGTTTAAGAAAAGCTGTACTAATTTTTATGAACAAACCAAAAATACACATCAAGAAATAAAA